GATTAGAGCACTTCGAAGTGAAAACCTACGAGTATTAATAATAACAATTTATATTATAACACAAAGTGATAGGTATTGTTGAAAAAATCGAAAGGAGGGACTTGATTCAGCCCACTTGGGTGAGCAAGGCAACGTTCAACGCAGTATGTTATGGAACCGTCTCAGGCTAGGCCTATGAACGCCCACTCCTAAATTTCAAACATTTGGTTTTATTGGGCTCAGTTTTGAAAAGCCTGGTGACCTCAGTGGAATTCGAACCAGCGCCAACAGATAGAAGGCTGAGCTACGAGGTCTTACCGGGAGCCGTGAGTTTAATCACACTTGGATCAATAATTGCTTGTGACTGATTATTATTTCATGGATTCTAGATTTATTACTTAAGAAACCCTGCTTAGGCAGTCGGTCTACTATATCCGAATTGGCAGATTCGATAAGTTGCACTACAATGGGCCGGTACTTGAACAAAATGCTTACGATGGGACCTCGTAGCTTAGGCGATCAGAACTTTGGCTGTCCTGAAGCCTTCCCTCTGTCGTCATTGGTTCGAATCCCAGTGAGGCCGCCGAGTTTTTCACACCTGGGCCAAACTAATTATTCTAATCTGCGAAAACTTCCATTACTTTCTATTTTTCCTGAAGTTTGGCATCGTGAAAGGTTCGAGCCTTTCTACACCACTAAATAACCTTTCTCATTTCGAACAAATGCTCGATAGAAATAAGGAGACTTTGCTGACGATACTGCTCTAAAATGCGGAGTAGACGTAGATAAATTTTTCGGGATTCTTAAACGTCACCAGCATACCATAGCTGTTTATGAATGCTCCGCCCTGCCAAACTTGGATGTCAACTCCCGAAATCTCGGTCAGATATTCGTGCGCAAGGCTTGGCCATTGGTTGACTGCTCTAAATCAGTCGGAGTTCAGTTGTTCTGCAGGCTTCATGTCCTCACTTATGCCCTTGTGTCAATCGCGTCCCGTTCTTTCTCAGCCATCGCTCCCTACCTTACGCAAAAGCAACTATAATATTATGCCTAGGTAATCCAACTATGAAAATCCGATATCAGACTACAGCTAGGCGGGCATTGCGTGATCTCCTGCCCTATTACTAGGAGCCTACATTTTGGGGGCTTTAAAAGGCCATACGAGTTCCAGTCGTTAAGAGAAGCCGAACAATCCCAACAAACAAAGTGAACTTACAGGTATAAGCGAAGCTTCCAGGTGAATGTTTGCAAAAAGACCTGTTTTTGTAGAGTAGGGTGACTTCGACGAGACCTTGGCTAGAGCGCTGGGGGGTTTGTACTCGTAGAGCATTCGGTGTTATCAGCTGTCAAGAAAGTGTAAAAATGGGGAATTGAACTTCCTCCTATCTACCGTAAAAAGTGCAATGGAATCATTTGAAATAGAGCAAAAATAGTGATCATTCGAGGTGGCAGTTGTCATAGAAGAAATCTTATTGGTTTCCCGCTCGCTAAAATTTTACCCATTATTTGGGTATGTTTAGTATTATGCAGCCAATACCCTACCCTCTACCAACCAAGCCTCCCTGCCATGCAGTAAAAAAGGAACGCTGCTTTAGTTTACTGAACCCTCATTTTTAAGCCATATCGCAAGCTCAAGGCAAACCTCCGCAAACTAAGCGGGGTTTCTAAAAAGCCTCAACCCTAGGTAAAGTCTTCAGTTTCATGGCCAATTTCCTAGTGGAATCAACGCCCATATTTTTAATCTACAGAAGTCCCACTCGTTTCATACAATCTATTACTGGTCAAAACATGATATGTCTCAGAAATGGTCATGTGTTGTAGTGTTGGTAGACTAGCAAAAGGCAAAGTGTATGATTGTTTTTTTGGTCAATTTCACTTTCACTTAGGACAGACTAAAACAAATCTGCTTCGCTGATTATAAAGTAATAACCCTAGTTTAGGCTTAACCGTTTGTACCAGCATTTCCGTCAGAGTTAATATTCCACTTACCTCGCTCCATACAGCAGTGTTTCCAAAAATTACTTGCAGTCCGTGGAAGAAGTTTTCTCCAATCACCATCACCGACTCTCCACCGGTCGTCCATCCCTCGTTTGGACATAGCGCCTTTATCACAGGTGGAGCCGTTGGAGTGACTGCAATAAATTAAATGCGATATTTCATGCCTGACCATCTGACATTTAATTTTATTTGAAAGTCGCGAGTATGTTTAACACAGAGGTTGCCAAGATATTTATTTGCATAGCAAAAGATCGTTTGACAACCTGGGCCGGTCGGATTGGGTACATCACCCAGGGGCTAACCGATCAGGAAACGACCTCAACCGTGTGCGCGTAACCGTTGCACTGGGGCGTATTTAGAACAATCACGGTGGTGATTGAATGCCAAGAACGTTTACTCAATTCCCGGAAATTAAGACTATTTGTTGAAAACATAAACTGATAAAAACTGGAAAACTGTTCTACATTTCCATGCGAGTGTCCTGAATTATAGACTGCTGAACAGAGGCAAATTGAGCTTCCATTATTTTCTTTATAAGCTAACTGACGCCTGCTGGCTTGCATAATTAGGTAAAACGCTGCGCTGAATCATAGAGGTGAAATTTGGGTATCACTATTTTCTGTTTGTGGTCATATCTCGTGGGATGGATTAATCCACTAGGTGGGGTATGCCCATTGCCTGTTTTTTTTTAAATACACATGTACTGGTAAGGAAGAAGGATGGTCGAGTACCGGATCACTGTTTGTTATTCTGAGCTTTCGAACTCTTACAGGAGTCCATCGTCAGCGATAAGAAACAGCAACAAAAAATGGGCTAGTTATAGTATGTGTACACCAATCAACTGTTAAGGGCGGGGGTGGGAGCAATTAACCGTCAGCGATTTTAACGTTCATCAGGGCGTCAACAACGAAAATGGGGCAATTATACAGGGTGTCTCAGAAGTAACTGACCCTTTTGATTTGCTAATAAAACGAAAACTATTAACGCT